AGGGTAACACTGCATGTCAGGATTTTAATTTGAAGCTTGCAACATTTTTTCTATATTCTGGCAACATTCAGTCGTCCTGTCATAAGCATTTACGAAAAAAACCAACTTATAAACATTGAGTCAAAAGTGTGCAAAATTTGTTTCTTAAAACATTTAAATTTTCTCTGGTGTTTATTATATTTGTGTCAAAGTGAAGTTTTCAGCATTATCTTCAGTGTTTTGGGAACGGAATAAGCTATAATGTAAGTAATGTAATCTTGTTGTTTTTCGTATTATTTGACAAATTCTTAATGATACAGATTTTTGCAGCAAATGGGGTGAAAAGGGACATACTGTAGGGTGTATAGGGTAGTAAATGAGGTGAATCGAGTCAGGAATGGGGTTACTAGAGACCAGAAAGGGGTTAATTGGGACGACTAATGGGTGAATTGGGTTTTTGTTTCTAGGGTTGTCGCAAGCTAAAAACGATAACATAAAACGGTATTTTATAAAGTTGTGGATAGGTAGGTACCTACCTAGTTAATTATCCATTTAGTATTGTTTATTTAACTTAACACTTGTCAGCTACCTTATAAGGCTGGATTTGACTAATTTATAATCCGAGAAAGTTGCGATGCAAGAGTAATAATAATACTCAATTAGAGCTAGCGAAATTGCGCGAGAGTGAGAGCGAGAACGACATATCGTATTGAAGTTTGAACAAATGCTGCTTCCAGCCTAAGAGTGATAATGCGGAGAGTTGGGTAGTTGAGTGACTATTCGATTCCGATATTTGTACGAACAAATCACTGAATACTTAAACTTAAATTTGTATGTAAAATTCAGTTTTATCTTATAAAACTTCTGATGACTGAAGTAAGATATTTTTCGATGTTTATTTTTTTGTTGTTTATTATTTTTGCAATTTATTGTTGATAGTGGACACTACCCAATTTTGGAAAATTTTCGAATTATAACATTCTTTTATGAATATTTTTTTGATAAAAATGTGAAAATGAAAATCATGAAAAATTCGTTCATCAAAAATTCACCAATTTTTCATATTTCCATTATTGTTTTAGAGACTCCCTAACTACATAATGCCGCGGGTATATAAGCCAAGACTAGACGGGAAAAAGTATAAAAAATATGATGAGACTGTGATGAAACAGGCGCTAGATGAACTTACTTTAAATCGTAATGCAACAATACGATCCATTGCAGAAAAATATGGCATCTCCAGATCAGTTTTGCAGAGGCATAGCACTAGACAAATGAGGTCACCAGGCGGCCAAAAGGCACTCACTAAAGAAACAGAAGATTACATTGTGCAGAATCTGAACACTTGTGCTGAGTGGGGATATCCCTTAGATGTAACAGATTTAAGACTTTTAGTAAAGAGTTATTTAGATATGTTGGGAATCACGCACAAGCGATTTAAAAATAATTTACCAGGACGAGATTTCGTTTACAACTTTTTAGAACGACACAAGAGCACGATTTCCCAAAGGCTTTGCCAAAATATAAAACGGGCTCGAGCTGCCGTCACACCGACCATCATTAACAACTATTTTGTAGAATTAAAAAAGTCACTGGAAAATGTTCCACTCAGCAACATTATAAACTATGACGAAACAAACTTGTTGGACGACCCAGGCCGACATAAAGTCATAACAAGGCGGGGGCATAAATACCCGGAAAGGGTTCTAAATCACTCAAAATCCTCTGTGTCATTAATGATGGCAGGAACTGCACAAGGGGAATTATTACCCCCTTATGTAGTATACAAAGCCACAAATCTATATGACACCTGGGTAAGAAACGGACCCGAAAACGCCAGATACAATAGAACATCGTCAGGGTGGTTCGACGCTACAGTTTTTAAAGACTGGATTAAAGAAATAATAATTCCGTTTTTCGATAAAACGCAAGGGAAAAAAGTCTTGATAGGCGACAACCTATCGTCCCATCTGTCGATTGAGCTGATTAACTTGTGCAAAGATCACGATATACATTTCGTCTTTTTGCCGGCAAACTCAACGCACTTGACACAGCCCTTAGATGTGGCATTTTTCCGCCCTATGAAAATTGCCTGGCGTCAAATCCTCCAAAAGTGGAAAAAAACAGATGGTCGGTCACTTTCAAGCGTCCCAAAGGGATGTTTTCCAAAAATGCTTCGCTTACTTATAGACCAAATTAAAATTAATTCAGAGAATAACATTCGAGCAGGATTTCGTAAGACTGGTAAGCATTATAATTATGTAAATAAATAGATAATTCATTTTATTATATTATAATTCATATTAATATGATAAATATCTTTTCCTATTTTTTATTTAGGTATCAGTCCATTGAATCCGAATGAAGTGCTGGCAAGATTGCCGGAAGAAATGGCAAATGAAGGGATTAAAGATGCTATAGATAAATCAGTTCTAAATTTATTAAAAGAGATGCGATATGGAAGTATGAATATTTTAGAGCCAAAGACTAAAAGGAAACTAAATGTCATTTCGGGTAATAATTATTATTACTTATAAACGCATGTATATTTACATTTTGCATTTACATATATATTCAAGAGCACTAGCTCACACATGCACTCCCACATGCAGTAAATCAAGCATTCATCCATACACACAATTGATGAAATTAAAGATTTTTGTGAGTTCATCATAACTCACAAATATCTTTAGTTTCATCCACCCACAAACTTAATGAATTTTACAATTAATTTTTTAACGTGTTTTCAGGTCGAAGTGTTTCACACACGGAAGTCGATAGTTATGTAGATACAGATACGGAACCAGAAATTAAAAAAAAACGGGATCAAAAAGTAAATAAAGCCAGTGCGAAAGGTAAAGGAGTAGGGAAGAAATCGAAAAAAATAGGCGATGAAAAAGAAAATGTAACACCATCGACATCAACAGCACAATGTTCGAGCGCTGCGGATAGACACAATATTGAAACGAACACTTTGCCTTTAAATGATTTAAATGAATCTTCGTGCCAAGAGGAGTATGATTGGGGTAACATAGAGTTTGGAACATTACCCGTAGTGTTATCAGACGAATTACAATCGTACGAAGAAATAATTATACCGTGGTCCAAAGAAGAGGTGAAGAATGATTTAAAAAATACGGAAAAAAATGTTATAGAAGAAACGAGTATTACTGAAGAAACTAATAGGGCAGAAGAAAATAATACACAAAAGGACAAAAATAATAAAACTGAAGAGCCGCCGAAAATTATAATTAATAGTATTATTAAAATACCTGATGATCAAATAACAAAACTTTTACCGACAAATTCAACAAAGAAAACTATTAGACCAGTAGCTATAAACCAAAAAATTAAAATTCCTAAAAAACAAAAAAGAACACCTGAAAAGAATTATTACAATGACGCTGATGAAATCTTAAAAATTCTAGAAAACTAGTGCAGCACTCGCACTTTCACTAGTTTTCTAGTACCTATGTAATGCTCTAAGGCTGAAGTGCACCAACTAACTTAAAAGGGTAATTAAGATGAACGTCTCATCTGGTTATCAAATCAGTGAAGGTCAGTCTTCCAGGTCTTCTCTACTATTAGCTACCCTTTACCCTTTTAAGTTACTTGGTGCGTTTGAGTTATTTCATATAAAAAACACTGGTTTAACAAATATTTATCTACTGAAGTAAGTTGGTGCACTTCAGCCTAAACATTTTTATTAATTATTCCAATTTTGACTTCTAAAGGTTTTTTGAAGTTTGATGCTTCGGCTACTTTCGACATCCGAATGATTTATGACTTTCAAGAGAAATACTACTAACTCTGAGGCGTCAAACTTATATCCTACCTGTCTTTGTGAGAATTTTGCTTAAGACTGAATTTAATATTGTTAATGAGGCTATTATTTAATTAAGTTAATTTGAGAGGATTTTATTTAATAAGTTTGATATGAGAGGATTTTATTCAGTTTAGTTCAAATACGAACTTATTAGGTAAGTAATTCTCTAAATATTTTTATTAATAAATCCAGTTTTGATTTCTGAAGTGTTTTTTGAAGTCTGTTGCTTCGGTTACTTTCGTCATGCGAATTATTTACGACTCTCGGGAAAAATACGACTAACTCTGAGGCGTCAAACTTATGTACTACCTGTCTTTGTGAGGATTTTGTTTAAGACTGAATTTAATATTTGTTTATGAGGCTTTTATTTAATTAACTTGATTTGAGAGGATTTTATTCAGTTTAGTTTGATATTATTTTTATTTTATTTAAAAAATTGTTTGCGAAGGTTAATTTTTGTTTTGAAGAATTTTCATTAGTTAATTTATGTAATATCGACGTAAAAGTATAAAATATGCATATGTCTTTTACGTAGATAATAAACGTTGATTTTATGACTTGATTTGTAGTTTTATTTACAAACAATCACTTAGATTTAACCGGAACTTTAAAAAAGAGCAGGCGGTATCAAATGGAGGTATTATGTATGTTCATTCATATTTTAAATATTAATACATTTATACCACCGAGGGGTACTCATTAAAAAAAATGGTTATTTGTAGTACCTACCTATATAATGTGTACAAGTGCCAACCCTATCGAAAAACTCTATTAACCTCATACGCGTTCCGATTCACCCCAAAGCCTGGGTGAATTGGGACGAGTAAATTTTTGCGAGTTTCTACAATTATTCTTTAATAAATTAGCTTTTATTGAATTTTAAATGAAAATTTGAAGTACTGGACTCATTATGATCTCAATTTCATTAATACAACTACAGAAAAAAAATTATGAAAATAAATTTTAAACTTGGAAAGTGTCCCAATTCCCCCCATTTTACTATCTCAAATTATTTTTGAAGCTGACACAGGCAGATACAGACCAGAAAATTATGGATATTACTCTTCAACTTCATCACATACAGAACGCCCTTCAGAATCAACAACAACTCAGCTTCCATCAACTTCTACTACTTCGACAACTTGGCAGCTTTCTCCGTCACCAAAATCACCACCAATTTAAATAACATATATATGAAACTTTTACCTAGGTAAGGTGAAAAGTTCTCGGCCTGACACAGAAATGGCGTTCCAATCAGTAAAAATTTAGGTTTCCTGCCTTGAAAAATAAAATCATTTTTGAACTGAAAATCGCAGTTTTTCATTGTCAGGCCGAGAACTTTTCACCTTGCCCTCGTATATATTCTTAAGCATAAGCTAAGTTTGAAATAAAGAGTTTAATATTTTTAATATACATATATAATTTCACTTACTTTTACATAATCCTTCAAAACCTCGATGATTGCTTCACAAACCTCAGGAACAATTTTTGATATTGACTGTTTGAACACTCTGAAAAGATACTGTAGACTGACGTAAGAATCGCCACTTGCTAAAAATCTTAGTGTTATTAGTAGTCTTTCCTTAATAGTTATGGCATCACGATAATTTGTATCATTCTTTCTAATTTTGTTCTCCAATAGTGAACACAATAAGTCAAATTGATTTGAAGTCATTCGTGCAAAATTAGCTTCAGCTCCATCATCAATTAATTCTTTGTAAAGTCGATTTCCATATTCCAACCGGTTTTTAAAAATTGTTTTAACCCAATACTGTCTTTTTCGTTTTCGTAATTTTTGTCGTAAATATACAAGTAAAATGTAGCTTGTTGCTGCTGCGGCTATTCTTCGCCGCCGTTGCACGTGTGACTCCATAGCCAGACAAAATTCAACTGAATTTAGCCGGATCAGTATGGATCGCCTGGAGCGCGTCGGAGCAGCCAAATCAGCCAAGTCAGGATCGCTGTTGGATCGACCTAGAACGATCCACGCTCCACGCATCACGATCTTGGATCGCGGATCGCAGGATCGCCGATCCATTTTGGATCGTCTGGTGTGGATCCGGCTAATGGATACTACTTTGGAACGCGCGCCAATGTGTTCGTTGGGGCGCTCGAACGCGGAGTGGACCGTTCCGACGGTTGTCGGGTTTTTGACACGCGTCAGTCGTGGCACGCGCGCCAATTGAGACGTACATGTTGTATTCTTTTTGTGTTTGTTGCGCTCCCAATTATGGATAACCAAAGATGCCGTAAATTAATACAACTCTATGGTACAAAGGAACTACTGTGGGATAGCAAAATTTCTTCGTATCATAATAAGTCGCTTAGAGAAGATGCTTGGAGAGAAATAAGCAGTGAAATAGGAGTTCCTGTGCCGTAGTAAAAAAAAAAGACTGTGCTCCTATCATCGTACAGAAGAGAAAAATGGAGAATATCTAGAAGCCAAATCACTGGCTCTGGTAATTATTGTACAATTTTTTTTAATCACAAATGTAAGGAAACACAAACACAAATTTAAAATGGTTTTGAAATATTCGTAGTAAGGTTAGTAAAGAAAATCACATATGTGTATGTACATTTTTAATATTTTATTAATTCACAGGTCGGGACAGTATTTACGTATCAAAATGGTTTGGTTTTGATGACTTCAACTTCATGCAAGACAAGTGCACACCAAATTTACTACGCAGGTAATTTTAGAGAAAGAAACAAGCGTTTTGGGATCCACAAATAGTGGGTTTGAAGTTCCATTTGGTGGTGATGGAGTGGGTGCCACGGAAAATGTCATCTTTGAATTGGACAATGCTGATGGTTCAATGCAAATTCAAGAGCAATTTGACTCAAATGATGCATCAGTTAACATCCAGGATGAATCACAATTGCCAATAAGTACAAGTATGCATCCTTTCTATTCCTTTCTATTGCCTTCTATTATTATTGTACACACATTGTTAATTTTTCTTTTATATTTAAGCAAAAACGAGGAAAATAGACTTTAGTTCACAGACTGAGACTTCAGGAGACAACATAGGCGAACAAAGTGCAAAACATATTTATGGAATGACCTATATGTCTAAGCCTCTTCAAAGCAAAGGTAAATTCACTTTTATATTAACTTTGTTTATGTGTGTCTCTGTATGTGTATGGGTAAATATTTACACAATTATTATACCTAGCTCTTATGCATAATGCAGTTGAATTAAAATAAGTTTACTCATAATGAAAAATAAAATCAAGTTTGTATGGAATGCTCCTGTACCCATATTTATAAATCTCGCGATAAGATTCATACCATTTATACATTGTGCTATTAGTTCATAGTAATAGTTGTAATGGAAAAAATATTTTACTTTTAATTTATAATCATGTGCATTATAGAATGTAAATATTTTTAATAGCAAAACCTAATCTAAGCCTTCTTTGTTACAGCCAAAAAGTTTAAAACAAACCAGGAAGATAGAAAGCTCCAACGTAATTTGGCAGTTGCGAGATATTATGATAAAAAAAACAGAAAAATTAGACATAGAGGTTAAAATATTGAAATTGGAGTTAGCTAATAAGAAAAACAATCATTATAATAATACTTTTTTGATATTTTTTAATTTTATGAAGGTGTTGAATTGTTTTTTTATTTCAAACAGTTGTTGTAAAATAAAACATAGTTCATAAATTTGTTATTTTATTACTTTTCATTACATTACAGAACTGATACTTAGCAGTTCATTATTGCTCCTACTCTTGATATCATCACCCATTAGTGTAAACTGAAAAAAGAAAGAAAATAAGAACTTTATTAAACGAAACAGGAAAAGGCCTCTTGTAGTACTTACATGTACTACATCATTGAATGATAATGTAGTTATGTAAGTACAAGGTGTCCAGAAAGGGTATCGGGTATTTGTTTTCGCGCCATAATCGAAGCGGGGCGTCTAAAGGGTGCGGGGAGGGGTTCGTGGCGTCCGCCATTTTGTGGTGTTTTATTCACGATGGAACAGTACTCGGGGACACATCGCGCATTTTGCGTACGAGCGTATTATCGTAATGGTGATTCAATAGTGACTGCTTAACGTCTCTATCGTGCGGAATATCGTATATGCAACGCGCCAAGTGGCGCGTCGTTTCGTCAAAATCTGTCTTTATCCATCCGAAAGCGAAGCCAAGTGTTGAACATAAAAAAATCATCTTTACATTCGATTTTAAAGAAAGACTTACATTTAAAAGCCTATAAAATTCAATTGGTTCAAGGATTGAACGATACGGACTATGCTAATCGACTGAATTTTGCGAACGAAATGCTGCAGCGATTTAACAACTTTAACAAAATACTGTTCAGTGACGAAGCAAATTTTCACCTGAACGGTCATTTTAATAAGCAGAATTGTCGGTACTGGGCAGTGGAGAATCCTAGACGAAAACATGAACGACCGCTGCATAGTCCTAACGTCGTTGTTTGGGCCAGGCAGTCGCCAAGCAGTTCTTCGGAGGAGGACGAACCACCTGCGAAACGGCATCTTTCGGCAGAGGAAGTCCGCGGAATGTGGAATTTAGTTAAAGGTTATCGCCAATTAGGCACGCGCGAACAAGCTGTGTCGTTTGCTGAAGAAAGGGGCATGATAAGCCGTACAAAAATGTGCAATTATCATAAAAAACCAATGTCAGTAGACTTTACTTTACTACTTTCTAATAAAACGTGGGCTGGTGGGCTCGTTCATATGCCACAGAGGGGCATGCAGAAACAAAACACGCGTCAGCCGGAGCAAACGCACATGATTTGAAAACGTTAAAATAAATATGCAGCAAGTATTTTATTTTATGTATGCTTTTGCTCAAAAGTATTCCTATGAAAGGACTATGATTGAAGATTTTTTCGAAACTGAACACTGTCTCTCTACAGCAACAATAAGCGACTGGTTTAATTATTGTAGAGAGGCAGTTGTCAAATTTCAACAAAACAAACAAGAAAGATCAGGAAAGATAGGAGGTCCTGGCAAAGTGGTACAAATAGACGAAAGCAAGTTCAGTAAGCGTAAATATAATAAAGGACGTCGCATAGAGGGACACTGGGTCCTTGGCATGATAGAAGATGGGAGTGAAGATCTTCTTGATTAACAAAGTGCTTAAAAAAAAGCACTTTGTTAATCAAGCGTTAGTGTTTATGCTGAGAGGAGTAGTTAATAAATGGCAGCAACCAAAGGCCTTTCAGTTTTGCCAAGCAACTAGCTTGGCAAAGCTTAGCAAGGCTAGAATTGTATAATAAAATGACTGCACGGTTGGTGCGGTGGCTGGGCAACCGGCTGCCATGCAACGTGTAGCGGGTTCAATTCCCGCACGGAACAACACTTTGTGTGATCCACAAATTGTTGTTTCGGGTCTGGGTGTCATTGTGTATGTGAACTTGTATGTTTGTAAACGCACCCACGACACAGGAGAAAATCCTAATGTGGGGCAACGTTTTATTTAAAAAAAAAATTTAAACTAATTTTGAAAGACACAGTTTCTGCTATAGTCACATGTGAGCTGAAGCCAGTCGCTTTAATTTGTGAACACGGCGCAGCTTTCAATCAGTTCTAAGAAGCCTGAAAGTAGACACATCACGTGATCAATTGTTGGCAAATCAAGAACCAGTAGGTCTACTCTGATTCGACGAAAAACGAAGTTTCGTTCGAAATTTCGCAAGTTTCCTACTACGGTTCTCTTTCTTGCGAAACTTCGTCCGAACGAACGAACTTTAAGGCATTTTGACGTTAAACCCTACTCTAATTCATTTCACGAACGAACGAAAATTCGAATTTAACAGATTATTGTTCGGATTCTAAATGTCATTTCGACGAAACCAAAATAGTTGTCGTTTAATTTTCGTTTGCCACATAATAACTCTTGTTGTGTATTCAAACATTATTTTTTGATTATTCTAGTTATCAATTTTAATTATTACTACATAAAATTAAAAGTGTTGAAGCTCTCTTGTTAGTTATTATTTTAAAATGGCAATGTTTGACGTCGTCAGCGTCACTCTTTGGCGGCAATTTAAACCAAATACGCGCGCTCAGAGTAATAAGTACTTCTTCGAGGCGTTATCATAATAATAGTCGTATTATGGCTGCGAGACATTTTCTTGTGGAAGCTGCAATGCGGGAAGAACGCACAGAGCGGCAAAGAAACCGTCGTCGTCTCCGGCTCCAACTGGATGTCGAACATATTCCCGACTTAGAATTTGTAAGAAATTACAGACTAAGTCGGGAATTGTTCGAACAATTGTGCCAGGACATAATTCCCATACTCTCTCCGAAGATGAGAAAACATGGGATCGAACCCACCCACAAAGTAAGTACCTACCTATAGCCTATTTAGAAATTGTTGACTTTGATTAAATACGTACTAAATACCTACTATAGTTCTACTGTTTCAATGTTAACCTGTTAACTTTTTTAGGTACTGACTGCGTTGCAGTTTTTTGCCCGCGGCAGCTACCAAGGCTCTGTGGGTCAAAATATGGACGCACCCATGGCCCAACAAACCGTCTCACGATGCTTGCGTGAAGTAACATCGGCACTCAATGCACCCAATATCCTCAGGAAACACATAAAATTCCCGCAAACCCGAAGCGATAGGATGTCCATTAAACTGTCAAACACCAAGCGGTCACCGGTGACCGCAACCTATTGTTCTATAATTACAGGTACAGGTACTCGACGAGTTAAGCAGAGGTACCTACTTACTATTATTATATAACTTGTAAGCATGATAGCAAACAATTATCTCAATTTTATCACAAACGGAGCCGTTTGAAATTCGCGCGCGCCAGTGCACGTCTCTTATCAGTGGCTAGTCACGTGGCCTCGCAAGCCTGCGTTTTGCGTGTTCCCTTTCCCTCCACCATGTAATGCATCTCGCAAGCCCGCGAATGAAGTAGGTATCAAAAACTTAGTTTCGAGTCATGAAACGTAGAATCATAGGTAAAGATACCCTATAAAAACTTTGATTCAGTGTGCAATCTCATTTCATCATCATTCAATCATAATCTTACATAAAGGTTTTATCTATCTATGTTCTTTAGAATTATAACTTAAACACGGTCAGAAAAATAATAGTTAGCTCTCTAGATTTAAAAAGGACAATGCCTATTTGTCTCCTGCTAATGTATAGAAATGAAAATCCCAGTTTTATTTGTAATTGACATTATGTTTTGACCGCGTTTCTACCAACAGCTATATTCCAATTTACGCATAATTAGTCGATGATAGATTTGACTCAACGTTGCATTTGATTCATTATTGTGCTTCATATTTCATCATACTTTTTTATTCTAAAAAATAAACACAACTAAATAAAAATTAACCAAATAGTTAATATGTTCAGCACAAGTGAAATGAATTTTATTTAGTTAATTGACAGTTCTGACATTGCGTTTTGCGTTCCGCAATTCTGTTGTTGTTTTACTCCGTTATTGTGAACTACTGTGCGAGTTTTGTAGATTTCTTCTTATAATGACTATATTCAGTTTACCACCTCGATATCTTTTTCATTCATTCAACGACATTGCAAATCGTCGGCTCAACAAATCCGTTGCTGTCTATCAGCAACAAGTTGAACAATATTATTGAAACATTAGATTTTTGGGCATTGTTCGCGTCGCGTTTACATTGATCAAAATTAACTATGGACCTTAATTTCCATACCCACAGGGAGTATTACTATAATTTTAAGTTCTTGATTTTTAATGTTCTACACAATTAAGAAAAAATCCGCTCAAACATACTCGCTTCCCATGGCGCGGGCTTGTGAGTTATATGGTGAAATAATTCAAGAGATCACGCAGCTAACAGTTGATAGAGGCTGTTGTCTTATTGTGTTGGGATAAAAAGGGGAAAGATTTTTGTTAAATTATCTGTCATTTAAAACCAGTTAGGTACCTTAAAATCCTGTCCTACGTTTTTGTTATTACTACAAAAATGAACAGCAGGTTGGATTATACATTATTATTTTATTTATTATAACTATAACATTGTATAATTGTAGATTCTATGAGAAGTATGGGATTCCTGGAGTTATTGGGTGCATTGATTGCACGCATGTTGCCATTGTGAGACCCGTTGAGCATGAAGAACAATTCTTCAATCGAAAGCATTTTCATTCAATCAACACACAAGTTGTAAGTGTTAATAAAATTTCTATTAATTTTACTACTAAATGCCTAAATTTACAAGTACTAAATAGTCTTACATTGATTTCATTATTTTTTAGATATGTGATAGTGATTTATTGATCACCAATGTGGATGCGGGATATGGTGGAGCAACACATGATGCCTACATTTGGAGGGAATCTGAAATTCGCTCCCACCTGGAGAGTCTTCAAAGCGAGATTTTTTTTATTTATACTCTTAATTTTACAATTTTATTATATGGATATATCTTTTATCTTTTTTTATTTAACCCTGAATCAGTATTAAGTGCATATTGAATATAATAATTAATAGTATGGGGAAAAAACAAACAACAAGTCTAAGTTAAAGCATTTATTACAAATAACTTATAAAAATATTTGTTACATAATAATTGTTACAAGCTTTTTGCATGTAAATAGAATAAAAGTTTTATAAAAACAGAATAATAAGTTGTCCATCAGAGACACATTTCACTGATATATTTATGTATTATTTAATCCAATATTCATAATTATATGCGTAAGTACAATAACAGCATACCTACAAAATTAAAACAGACCAATTTATTTGACAGAGAAATAATTTTAAACAATCGTTTCTAACATGGTGCAGTGGTGCACACAAATGTGCATATATTATACATATACCTAAAATGTGAAACACTGCTTTTTTATAAATAAGCTTATAGCTAACAAAGATCATCCAAATAACGATACGCTGGTCCCATAAGATATTTAGAACAATCTAGATTACTTCAGAACTAAGTATTAACTTGTCCTTGCAATTAGATTAATTAGGTACTAATTTTGAGTATTGTCCAATGGAGCCGAATTAACACGTTGCCTAGCATTTTTCTACTTAAGTAGTGGGTTTTCGATTTTTACAAATTCGCATAGAGTAGGTAATAAATAACATAACTGGTGAAATGTGGGTGATACTTTGGTAAATATAATTCAAATTTATGGCTTTTCCGACAGTTTTGCTAAATAATTTAATATTTGCCTTTGTATCCCACACATTTCTTCCATGGCAGCCCTTAGCCGGCAAGTTCTTGGTTCCTCGCCGTTTCCCGTTGTTCACGTCTGTCCTCGTATTCAAAAAGTCTGCGTCTGACGTCAGAGCCAGCAGCAGACCGCATCCTTCGAGGACGATGACGTGACGATTGCGAGGCTGAAAAAAACGTTAAAATTAATAAGTACCTATGTACCTCTACCGACATTATCAATTTCTTAATATAACAATAGGTACCTATTATTTTTCATTTCTAACACCCAATGTGTTAATTATTATTCTGCGACATACAATGGTATAGAGTATACGTATACCTCTACCTAGTTAATCGGGGAAAAAATGCATGATAGTAAGTACTTATTTATATCGTTATTTGTCGATTGGATAGGTACTTACATGGCACAATTATTTCGTGTATTTGATCTGGCACAATTAGTTCTTGACTGGGTTCAGCACTCGAACACTCAACTCTCGGGATGGCACCTAGAGGCAACTCCAAGCGTGGCGGTTGACTGGAGGTAGACGGAGCAAGTTCATATGCCTAGGTAAATTGAAAGATTATTTTTATTACCATTTGTAACACTAAGTCTGGAAATATGGAAGTATTTATCCATTTATTTTGAAAGAAATAACATAACATCACAACTTTCATTCCCTGAAAAGGTACCTACTTATAAAAACGAATATACCTAGGTACTTACTTCGGGGAAAGCCGGAACTCTAGCTTCCGTCTGGCGGAGACCAAACCCATCTCCCATTATATTTAGAACTTTTAATTCCCAAGGGGAGGATGTCACCGCCGGCCCACCTCCAGTCATTGTAGCCGATCTCCGGGAGTCAGCAGCAGCTTTTTTGGCCAAGTGTTTTCGGTCAAACCAAACCTATACGGAATAAAAATATGTTAGGTCACATTTTTTGTCATTTTAATTAATAGTAGTCTTAAATGAAATACCTACTTTTTGCCACTGCGTGACTGTCTTTGTGCAACCGCCCATGGCATTTAGGAGGTTGCACACCTCGTCCCAGAGCCGCTTCGCTTGGAGCTTGCCTTCTACACTTCGCAGATGTCCGCGGGCTAGGTCGCGATGCTCATCCAGAAAGTTGAGGAGTGTATCTACTTGTTCTGGAGTTGCTGAACCCGTCCATGGAGCCATTTTAAACTAAAATATTAAGATAGAAATAAGTTATAGAAATCTATGACTATAAAATAAATGCTAATTGCAACAATTTTAAATACGAAAAGCTACAAAAAACGGTACTTACACTTTTTATCAATAATAATTTCGAAAATAATATTGAGTGAAGTAAAAACTCAAATAACGCGCGTAGTGAAATTGGAAGGAAATGTCATTGTAAGGATTGTTTTGAGTCTATGGTTTTCACCACGAACTTTTATTATTAACTTACTTGTAATTATGTGACTTAATGCGTCTATTAACCATGTATTTTAAAAGAACGTAATAATATGCTTTAAAATATATTATTATTTCAATTTATTTTAATTAATAATAAAAACCGATTATTTACCGCAAAAGTCTACGAACGAACCACTATGACTTCGTTCATTCCATTCGTTCACGAATATTGTCTATGGATCCGAATTTGCCGTTTGCGGACGAAAATGAAACAGAGTAGGGTCACAAACGAACCTTCGTTTAAATTTCGTTCGTTAACGAAACTTCGGATTCGAGAACCGGAGTAGGCCTCCTGGTTTGTAGTTAACTTTCAGACTCTTAGCTATTCATGTATGTATCAGAAAAACATTTGTAAATGTTTGCCATTATGGGTTAAAATCTTCAAATATTGGAAATGATATTTTTATAGTACCTACTGTGAGGTACTAAATGAATTAAAAATAGTTGAAAATAATGAGTAATGAGTTTACTGAGGTTATTATACTTTCTATTACTGAGAGTATTTTTAGGGGTTAATGTTGGAATGAATTGAATGGGCCACAATGGTACCCACCATTGTAAGGAACTCAAGTCAAGGAACTCGTATTGCCAATATGTACTAACAACCAATTTTTTATCTAGATTTACATGGTTATTACAAAATGTATACTAATTTCAGATGTCACAGTTATAATAAGTGGGGTCAACCTGATCATTGTATATGACCCGTCACACCTTATAAAGGGGATGAGAAATAACCTTTTGACAAAAATATTAAATTAAATGGGAAAATATCAAAATAGCAAAACATTGTTAATGTTCACAAAACAGATTGCTATCATACAAAAGCCAGACTTTTTCACAAATTGAATGACCAACAAACATGTTATTCCAGCGGGGCGCTTGAGAGGACAAATTTCTTCACGCCCCAGCCGTCTTGGGAGATATTCCGGGCGTCGGAGATCGCGAGGCGATCTCCGGCCACCGTAAGTGCCACACCACTGCGGACGGTGAGCTAGGGTAGCTTGCCTTCCGACCAGAACCAGACCCGTACGTCCGGCGCGTCGTTTTCTGCGCGCGCCTCGAAGAGCCATCAGACTACCACAGATGGGGCCTAGTAGGGCTGATGCCCGATACGGAGCCGTGAAAGGCTTAACGGGTTGCCGGGGCTCCGGCTCGAAGAGCACGAATGGAACGGAGTGGTTTTTAGTCAATAAGAGTCTGACACTCCCTCTCGCCTATCCCAAGGCAGGAGAAGTCATTAAATGATTTCCCCCCTCAAAAAAAACATGTTATTTCAGAAAAATTAAAAAAGTGAAGGTACCTTATCCTGTTTGGGTACTTGTATTTATTACCGCTGACGCTACAGTGACCATGAGATTTTGTTATTATTACCACAGATTTTAATATGTATTTATTATTTTTAAGGTAAAAAATTGTGTAAAGTTCTTCAGCAAAACTGTATCTGCAGCCTTGTCATACACTGCATGAATTTTGTACTTTACTGTAAAATGTAGAATGACAAAAGTGCTGGCCAAACTGCTTACAATAGCTTGTCCACTAAAATAAGTTAAAATATTTTGTAAAACTAAACATATAAATCTTTTTCAGGCTCATTATGCAGACGGAAGACCTGCCTGTAGCACCGTGCTGAACATAGCAGACAGTTTTATTCTTTGACCAGCTATTTGACAGTGTCAATGGGGCTACAATGTTCTAAAAAAGGAACAAAGAAAAAATCGTGAAAACCGCAGTGGTAGAAAAATCACACTACCAGTTTAGGCAAGAAGCTATAAATTAGAGAGAATTCGATTTATTGATTCGAAAGGAAACGAAGTCTGAAAAATCTGTGCCCTCTTTAGTACATTTTACAGTGACTATAACTTGAGGCAGTGGCAGAACTTAAAAAAAAAGAAGTTTAAAAATAGTGAAGCGTAGATATTTTATACAGATCCCATTGAAAACGTTTTTGTCAAGTAAGGGCATATAATTATAGAAATAATGACTCGAGCTCCCACAGCTTAAGTTGCACCTTTAATCATTATTGATAACTAGAATTATAAAATTCCACAACCAAAATTATAATTGTGAGGATGACTCTTCGGGCCAAACTATAAATTTACAGTCCCTATTTCAACATGATGTAAGTGAGAATGTCGACCAGGGTCATCCAAATAGTGGTTAAAATATCGAAGTGATTGTGGAGCAGGTTCGACGAGAACGATCGAATGTCCACTCGCGAGCCTACAGTACTGGATGGGTAGATCGTAAAATTTTCGATAAATTTAAATTAAATTGCCATGCTTGCATAAATTCGTTAACAAGTTGTCAGAATAATATCCGTGTCTGGATCAACTATCGTGAATTGGGAGCAACAAGGGCGTTCGGTACCCAAAGCCCGTTTTCATATTATTACTTCAAGACATTACGTCTTTGCGTTGGATGTGGCCGTCCTATTCTAAGAAGCAGAAGTCGTTTAGTACTGAGAGAAAACAGTACTGATGAAGAACAACAACTTGCTGCAATTATTTCACAGTGGATACAGCACCGTCAAGTAAATACATTTTTTGTTTTTATAAAAATATTTTCTAATTATTTCTGTTGTTATAAGTATTGATTGTATTATTTATTGTTTTAGCTTGATGAACTGATATGATACTGATGAAGCATGCGGGCCATGTTGCTACGAGCTCAAAGAATATTGCGTCGCAGCACCAACACCCAAAACGCCCAGTCTAACAATGGTGCTTTAGAGGATATGGCTATATCCCCTCACCAAAGTCCCCAACATGAGGAAATTGGAGACAGCTGTGTAAACTGTGACACACGGCTGCTGTCTGCAGAAAATAGGCATTGTCTGTCTTCAGAAAGCGAACCTTTTATAAGAGTTATATATGAGAAAGGCTGTGGACATATCCTAGACACATAAGTTACAGGCTGTCATAATCATATTTTTTTACTGATTTAGTCAGTTCAATGAGCAATAAATTGTAAAAACTTTATTTACAGATTGTGGACACCGATTATGTGTGCCACACTTGTTGGGAGCTCGCGAACCACCAGGTATTGTCTGAAATTCCAGAAGAAAATGCTACTCAACAATCTGGAAACCAGGTACCACAGCAGCAATATATTACACTGCCAAACATTAGACGAGTTGCTGACACAAGAAGGCACTGCTTGTTTCCTGACTGCGGGAATCCTGAACGATACTATATTCCGGATGCAATACGTACACGTGTGCTGAGTGACAGCAACGTTTATATACCTAGAGGTGCTAGGATATGCGGTTACCACATGGGTAGAAACATACATATTTGGTGAACTATACACATCTGAAAATACACTAGACCATTATTTTAATTGTTTCCAAATAGAAGATATGATTTTTATACTAGCAGAACCTGTAAGTGTTTTTAATTTTGAAGACATCCAGAGTGCCAGAATATTTAGCGCATTATTTTTTGGGGATTTCTTTATCCCAACATCAACAAATAATGAACGAAACAAGAGGACTTCGTGAAATGCACAGAGGAAGTTTTGCATTAACTGCATTATTATGCAAATTAAGGACGGGAGACTCGGGAGACAGGCTAGCGAGCTTGTTTCAAACGCCAAGGCGCACTGTGGAAACCCTGATGAACAAAGCTAGGGACATATCTGTCTGCATCATATCAACCGAAGTGATGTCATCAGTAAAAACTCATATATAGCCAACAGTCTATTTGGCAGACCTGATCTCCCACTGGAACGACAAAATGCAATTGTTATCTGTGATGGCACCTATGTTTATGCCCAAAAAAGCTCGAATTATTTATTTCAAAAAGACACGTATTCTCTTCATAAATAACGAAATCTCATAAAGCCTTTTATGATTGTATGTTGCAATGGATACATCCTGGATGTTACAGGGCCATATCCCGCCACTACTAACGACGCGTCGATAATGAAAGATTCATTAAATAAGGACAGTTTTTTGAATTTTTTCAGAGAAGACGATATTTTTATTCTCGTCAGAGGCTTTAGGGATAGTGTAGACGCTATACATCAGCGTGTCTTCCTCGCCCATCTACCAGAAACTCTGTCACCAGGTCAGTTCATCATTTAACTACACTAGAAGGGAACCGGTCTCGCTGTGTGGCAATAAATAGATGGGTTGTGGAAGCCATCAATGACAGGATTAAAAGACACTTTAAAATATTTAGGCATGAATATTTTAATCGTGCATTCAATCGTCATATGACGATTACGATATACGAGCTGCTGCAATGGAGAAGTCCTTCATGGACTTCTCCATTGCAGCAGCTCTGCATAATGCATTTGCCACAATGTTTGTGGATCCTAGTAATGCGGAACAAATAGTCAATATTATTAATGAAAGGCTTTTTGCAGTCAATATTTTAGCAGAAATAGTACAAGAAGAGAATCTCAATAGAAGAAACTCTTTATTTACAACAATAACAAGTACAAATATTGTGTTCCCCAACCTGTCTATAGAAGAATTGGTCCTCTGTGCTTGTGGCACTTATCAAATTCGACAAGCTAGGTAGGGAACATAGGGAATAAATTCTTATTTGATTCGAGAAAAAGTAAAGGCCCCGGCATGTGTTACGAAAATCATTTTGTTTTTCTGTCTATAGATCGGCAACAAGTGGGTAGGAATGCCATCACTGGTTATTGTGGTTTGCGCACTGTGGGATGTTGCTCTCACGTAATGAGTATTGTATGGTATCTTGGCTACACGCGTCACCAGGATAACATAACTCCACCTGCACAGTTTCTTGACCAAGTTTTAGTAAGGCTAGATACATAATTGTAAAATAAAATTAAATGTTTGTTATAAACGTATTTGTTTCATTTTATAAAATAATATATATTAATAGGTAACCTTGCCTACCTTTTTTTAGGTGGGGAAGTCATCTAAATAACATTTCCGGCCCCTGGATAGTGCGGGAGGGTGTGTCAGATTACTGACTAAATCGCACTCCT